TTGGCTGCTTATCGTAGATGAAACGTTCAGACCAACATACGTCGCTGATTGCCAGTACTTAGCTGTGCACGACTGTTAACGACAGCATTCCATAATCACGGACGCATGCGTTTTGTGTACCATCACTCTTTTTCCAACTTCCAATAGCTCCGAAATCTGCAAAAGATTTCATTATTTTCCTAAATGGAATGATTTGCCAGCCAATTTCAGCAATGCACAAAGTAAGTTTAAAAGGAAGCACGTTTAGTAAGACACAGAGCCGTTGGCTTAGGTCCAACCTGTGTTATAGTACATGTCTCAGAAAATCTGACAATAGACCCGAAATACTGAATATGGCTGAGCAAAAAATCTGTCTCATGGGTTAGCTAGCGGAGGCTCACAAAATGCACGTCTGTTATGCAGTTAATAAAAATGTCTATTCACAACTTATGGATGGCATATAGTTAAGCATTATCGTAAAATTAAACTCAGAATGAAAGCATGACTGGCGGGGATTGTGCGTAAATGGGGGTTTAGGAGAAGGGGCAGCGTCACGGGGGTTGGGCATTATCCGATGTACGTATGGTCGTCACTAAACCGGCACGGGCAGAAAGCACAGTTGCTATGCGTTTTTTGGAGGAAATATCGAGCAAGATCGGATCGTGAGGATTCGAAGTTGGTTGGCAAAAATCAAAACAAGAGAGAGGAAAACAAGAGGCTTCCTGCCTGACTAATGACAAAAAACATGTAAACGGTGAAAAATGAGAAACGGGCTTGTTCTTGTGCAGCAGCAGGGGTGGCGTCATCCAGCCGGTCAGCTTGAACTAAGCCTTGAGCCGCCGCTGAGTCCCTGTCGCCTTGGACTGTTGGGCTCATGACCAGGGTAACAGAAAGCGTAAATGGGGATGCCGAAGCAGGGGGGTTAGCAAAGCGGATAAGGGGTAACATGAATCTCATAAACAGCAAAACTGTGGAGATTCACCAGTGTACTGGTTGTTGAATCGGACATAATGGTTCCTTGGAAGAGTGAGATGATGGCAACACACGAGCAGAATCACGATGTGTATAGAAAGTTGTCAAATTTTGCGAGGAGCACAGACACACAGGAATGAGTAAATTTGAGCGAAAGTTTCAGCAGATTGGAATGAACATGCCATGGAGGCATCTAGGGTCATGTGGGGAGCTCGTTCGTTTTTTCAGTGGGCAAGAGGGTACGGTCGAAAAAAGGAAGGGATTAGTTGCTTGCGTGCAATCGAATTGTGTATGACAGTGCCGTGCCATCATTGACCTGACGTACTTCGGTTTCTGGACAGCCCCGTAACTGGCGTCACATTTAAGGTCATTGGGCTGGAATGTGCGAGTCTTTAAACAGCGGGATTCCTTTCAGGCTGACCAAGGAAACAATGTAGAACGAAGTCGATACAGCACACATTCCAACCCATTTTACCATCATGGCATGCTCTAACATATGATAGTCCAAATGTCCGGAATGCCTGTATCTTAAGCTCTCGGTATCTACGAACCTGCCTGCGCTTCAATCACGATTTTGGAAAACGTCTACCCACACATCTTCCTTTAGTACCTAGCTTTATGGACGACCGTACACCTAGCTATGATACCAGTTGCGCACCATTTAGCTAATACACATTCCGCATATTCACACACCCGTTCTTGTCAAACGCCATTCTCTACTGTTCTACCTGAACGGCGATAGCCATCTATGCAGTCGGGCAGGGTCGCCTCATCACAACAGTTAGAACTTGTGATCATTATAGCTAACTGCTATTTAGGGTCGCAGCCTAACCCATATATTAATGATGGCCTGCCCGTAGTCCACCTGATCTTCACAGATTCCTGACCAAGCCTGTTACTGGCGCCCGTAAACCCTAATAAATCCTCAGAATTCATGACAGAACTCAAAAGTACTGGTCACCCGATTGCAAAAACAAACCCACTAAGTTTTCCCATGGAATGTCAAGGACTCAGTATATCGCTGGAGGCAAAACAAAAAGTTCAGCAAACCACCTGCGACAAATTATTTGGCTTTGTCACGCGGCGCGCCTGCTCCAAAAAGGGGAATTGTAACGCATTTGAAACTCGAATGTATCTGCTTGCCCGTTTCTCATATGACCTTATACGTGCCCCTCCCTTTCTCTCTTCCCCCATTGCAGGTACCACGGACGAATCACCACTCAATACACGTGTCGTTACCACACTCCGGCCTTCTCCCTTGTTCCACCCGACCTGTGCGCATGTGTGCTGTGTATACTGTGTGGATTCATTAATACCAGTCCGTATATCTGCACATTTCAGAACTGACGTGTGCCGTCCTCTCGAACGTCGAATACCGCTGACTTCCTGACATCCCACGCTACAGAATATTTTTGCTGCGTAAAGTGCAAATAGCTGTTCAACTTTGAGTTTTCGCAGATAAATAAATAATAGGCCCGCGTTATCCCATGCTACAGTCTGTTTCGAAAGGATCGCACTCCTTTCCTATTGGCCACTTGTACTTTGTGTGCCAATAGGGTTGTCGTTTTTTAAGGTCGTTGAAAAAGTATATAAATATATTCAGCGACGCCCCACTCGTACCACGCCGTTGCCCGAGGCGGTGCGGGTTCCCTGTCGTCCCCCGGTTTTCTTCATTCTGCACTAGTACGCTCGTCCTCAAGTTGCGAATTGTCGTTGATCCTACCCGTTTAGCTAGGTGACACTTTGGCTATTGAGTTCATTTAGGTGAACACTTGATGGATCCCGCAAGAACAGAGGCACTGATCGAGCAATAATTTAAGCTTATCAAAGCGCTTATGTGTAATATGCACGCTATGAAAGCGCCATGGGACAGTGATTCTCCGACAATATTTGCGGATGGTAAAGAGAAGGCTCATGAGCCGAAGTCAGTAAGCAAGGTTGTACATCACCGATACTTACACATAAATCAAACTAACAAACACTGTATACTACACGGGCCTCCTTTTTGAAGAACACCGTCCCCAGTGTACCATGGCCTACATGAACCGGCCGGTGCTAGTGGTATGGTCCGTGAGACTGGTGAGTGTGTGCAGAGGTTGTTGTGTCTGGGACTGCGTCCACCGTGTGTGAGTGAGCGACATGCTAGCTCTGAGGTCTGTATGCACATATATAGAGCCAGGATCTTTGTGGTAGGTCTACTCTGTGTGTGGTAATCATCCTGGCGTGGCCGCCGATTGTGTAATATGCACGCAATGGATGCACCAGGGGACAGTGATTCTCCGGAGGCAGGTGTGCACGACAATTTCTGTGGATGGCTAACAGAAACAGAGCTCATGAGCCGAAGCCCAGTAAGCAAGGTTGTACATCACCAATACTTACATATAAATCAATCAAACTAACAGATATCGTATACTACACTACGTAACCTCCGAATGAGATAGTCTTGGTCTTGATTGGTTCCACCATCTTAGTTTGGTAGGTATCCCATTCAGTTCCATCTGTAATGCGGTCGATTCTTCCGTTGCCGCCCCAGGTCAGCCCGATAGCATTATTGGGCGCTTCGCTGAGGTCTTCCTGCCCGGCCCGGGTCACTGTTCAACCACACAAACAGCCATTCGACTTCAACCGGTAGCTACCCCATTATTCCACCCCAAGAAATCGGTCCTGCACGTCTTCTTACCACAGGTCGATGCCGAAATCCATCGTCTCTAGCAACAAGGCGTCCTTCCGTATCGTACCATACATGGGTAACCCTAGTCGTGGAGGTGAAGGTAAATGGCCCAATCCGCACATCTCAACTGACCTCAACGCAGCTCCCGAAAGGTGTCGGTTCTTCACGACGGCCGGTATGTTCACCGGGTTCCTCTTTGATGCCAAGTCAGACCGAGAGCAGCGAGATCCCGTACCACAAGTAATCGTGCTACGAGGGGGTCTGCGGGTAAAGTCGTACTGTCCTCTGCGATAGGAGTGTGAAGGCAGTAAGATGATCCCCCAGACGACCAACATGTCCGTATCTATGGAAACAGCCATGCTGCTTTCCCCCGAGTAAGGACGGTTAGAAAAGGTCGGCCCAGAAAAAACTGCACACTCCTACGGTTGACCGTGACTGCCTGTGCATTATCCCATACAGTCGAAATACTTTCAAAACCAAAGAGTCCGGTGCTGCTCAAAAGGCACTTGCTGTGCGCATCAGGAATGAGACAGTAATGTCTTATTCCCTGCGCCCTCAGGTTAGGTCAAGCCCCTGCAGCCGAGCAGGTCAGATTAGTGAGTCGTCGGCTCTGGGCAGGGTTCCCAAAGATAACCCTACTGTCCGCTGCCTCGTGGGCCAGCCTCCCTCCCAAAGCCTTGTGGGTCAAACTTTTGAGTCAAAGGCTCAAGTCGGGGTACCTCATCCAAGCCCCGTTCCTCGGCCTGGCTAACCTGGAAGTATCATTTGTCCGCACAGTTCGGTGTCCACCAATGTCCCTCCCCAACGCCTTCCCACCAAAGGCAGACGTCCCTGGGCTTTTGACTGTCAGTTATCTGATCGAGAGGCCTTATGCTCCTTATTGCCCATTAACAAGAAACAAAACACCGTTCTAAACCCACGAAATCTTTTCCATATAGGAGCTTTTAATGTCCGTGTTCAGTGTGGAAATTGGCAAACAGGCTTGCCGAAACCTTATACTCCCTTAAAATTGACGTATTCTGTGTCTCCGAAGCACACATACAATACCCAAGCGTGATTATGCATCTCAGAACGCCAAGGATGAACTCAGTTCCTTCAAATTTCTCCCTTCGTGTATCCAGTGACCCAGAAGCGATGATTCGTGGAATGTATGGCGTGATAGTTGTACTCAGCCCCAGAGCGCTGGATTGGATCCCAGTGAACAGTCGCCTTTGCGGCATCTCTTTATCAAGTTCAATTAAGCTCAGTGCCTCGGCATAAAAAGTTGTGCCAGTCTGTAGAGTCAGCTTATGCCCCAACGGGCTGCAGCTCTGATGCTGAGAAGGGTACTTTCTATCGAGAGCTATCCGGGCTCATTCGTCAAGCATAAAGCACTGACATGATCCTTGTAGGCGATTTGAATGCTCAAGTAGGTCGTCTGAGTTCCTTGGAATCATATTTGGGCGGTTGTTTCGGAGTCGATGTCCGTCGCACAGACATCGAAGATCCCTTAGTAGTGTACGGATCATGAACTGTTTCTGGCAAGTACGAACTTCCAACGTAAGCGTTCGCATCGCGTAACTTGGAGGCTACCAACCGCAAATCAACCGTGAACCCAGTTGGACCACGTGTCCATCAGCCACAGGTATAGAGCCATACTTTAAGACTCCAGTTCCTTCTGGAGCACACCACTTGATTCCGATGACGCCATGGTTCGTGCACGCCTGACAGTTCATTTCCCTTCAGACCCTCGCAAGCCAGTGAGAAGCATGCCAATCCACTGTCTTCGAAGAACTACTTTAGTTCAACAGTATAGATCTGAGTTAGCCCAACAACTCTCCACAGTAAGTCGATACTGTGGTGGCAGTGAGCATGCGGATGAACCTTGGCAAGACGTGAGACGAGATATATTGGCGGAGTTCAGTGCTGTCTGTCTGACTTCTCCGATTCAAACACAAGACCGCCGGATGTCGTCAGGATCGCTATCCATTATTGATGCCAAGAAAACTATACGAGCAAGCAACGAGTACGACGGCGCACACAGATCCCTCAAACGCCAAATATTGAAGAGTCTAAGGAAAGACCGAGAGCTCTGGTGGACGTCGAATGCTCGGGAGGTGGACAGGGCTTTTGCTACCGGAAATACGATTTACTGGCCCTAGAAGAGCACGGTCAGCGAAAGGATAAGTGAAAAACATGGCTCATTAATTCGCTCGCAAGAGCGCCGACTGGAACGATGGGTCGAATACTTTGGAGAGCAGTTCAGCTGTCCCCTTGCAACACAGCCTGCGGAGGTAATGCATAAGGGCGAATGGAATGTAAACACTAATCGCTCTTCGGAAGAAGAAATAAAGTACGAAATATCCGTCCTGAAACGCGCGCACCAGGGTTCGGAAGAAGAAATAAAGTACGAAATATCCGTCCTGAAACGCGAAAACGCACCAGGGTCGGACGGTCTTCAAAAAACACAGAATCCATCTGACAAAGCCTACTGGTGTCATATGGAACGAAGAGTAGGTGCCCGCGGAATGGGGTACGTCGACAGTTACTTCTATCTCCGAAAAGGGTTCACGGACACTGTGTGCAAACCACCGCGGCATCAGCCCGGTAGCTGCGGCATCAAAAGTACTCCGTTTGAAGGTTGACTGAACACAGGGAGAGAGAGATCCGTGAAAACCAAGCTGGGTTCCGTCCTGCAAGAGGTTGCATCGACCATACCTTCACCCCCCGACAGATTCTGGAGCAGCGACACTGCTTCCAGCCACCAACAATTGTTGTGTTTCTTGATCTGAAAGCCGTCTTTGACTCTGTGGACCGTCAGGTACTATAGCGGTATCTATGGAGCAAAGGCGTCCCCCATAAATTCTTGACGGGGCGAGATGGTCCAAGTGGTTGGAGGGCGAATTTACTGACTGGAAGGTCTGTGGTTCGAACCCGATCTCTGCCTTACGACTTCCCCCGTCTAGGCCTGGGCAACCTGGCAGTATCCAAGCCATCGTGCAACCTTCGGGTGGCATGGCAGTTAAGCACCGAAAGGGCGCTACAGCCGAACGATTTTTTAAGCTCTTGACCCTCCTTAAGGCGCTGTACGCCAACTCCCGCGGTCGTGCGAAGGTCTACGGGAAGCTCTGTTCTGAGTTCGCCACATCAGATGGTGTCAGACAGGGCTATCCTCCTTCACATTTCCTCTTCAACTTCATCACCGATACGATCATGGAAGACTCATTATCAGCCTGTAATGCCTGTGGGGTCGAAGTGCTCCCGGGGCGTCCGCTTTCGGGCATCAAGTGGGCAGACAACATAGCTGTTCTTGGATCTGACCCCATGGCAATGCAAACAATAGTAAATAAGCTGAATAATTCCGCCTCACGGTTTGGCATGCACTTCACACTTCCAAAGTGTAAAGGGCTATTGCAAGACTGAGTGAGCTCGAACCCTAGCCTCGCTTGCGAATTAACCGATTGAGGTAGTAGGCAAATTTGTTTACCTGGGCACGGGAGCAGTTTGACCCCACAGGGTCGAAGTGCTCAACAGTGAAAAGAAGGGAGAAAGAGTGGGTGGAGGAGGGGACTTAGTGCTGGCCTGTGTCAGGCATTCCGAGGTGCCTGCACCTCCAATCGCTCAATCAGACAATCTGGAAAGAAACTGACAGCACGAACGCCACTGACATCGATTAGTCGCCATTTGCAAAGTTTCCAGCCAAGCACAGACGGGGTCACAGGGGTCTCATCCTAGAAGGCGTACTACACCAACAACACCCAAACTCTTCGTGATCTTTTTCACGCCTTTCTGCCAAGTCATGCGCTGTCCACCTCGCGGTTTGCGTTATCCTAAAGGAGGCGACGGTAGTTTTTCTTGATCTCAAATCTACTTTTCATCTCAGTCATTGTCAGAATCTGTGGAACTCTCTGACTGCCCCTTTGAATTCGTATTAGATATTCTGCTTGAATCCTCTTAATCTGCCTCTAGCAGCTCAGGGATCGAAGTACACCCTGGATATTTGCTCGTGGACATTAAGTAAGCCGGATTTTTTTTATTTTTCTAGCGTGAAGCTCTTTAGAAATGCAAGCTATTTTAACTTGAATAATTCTGCTGCACGGTCCGGTATGCACTTCGCTTCTGTAAAGCGTGACTTATTACTTGTCGTTTGTGTGAGACCAAAACTAAACCTCAACTTGGATCTGAACCGATGGATGTGGTAGACAAGTTCGTCTACCTCGACAGCTAAATAAGTTCAGCGGACTGGCGAGAGGCGAAATCACTTCCTGAGTTAGGTAGATAAGGAGAGCACTTGCCAACACTGACATCAGCTCGACTGTTAATTGTAATGTGTACAGTGCGGCGCTCCGAGTTGCCCTAATTTGTGGATCAGAGACGTAGCTGCTGTATGTGTTTTTAGTGATGGCTGTCTTCGAAGCGTTGAGTTGGTCTGGTGGGAACACTACACCAGTAGCGCGGAGTTGCGCTAGGTTGTCCTCGAGGGAGCTTACTCGACATCGATAGGCCAGCTGGTCACACTCGACAGATTACGCCGGTCAGACCATCTTTTTGCTATGCCAGAGGACCATTTATGTCGTAGAGTTTTCTTAGTCCAGCTTGGTGTCGAATGGAGACGTCTTAGAGCAGTCCATGGCTTGACAACTAAGCACGGAATCCCTTACTAGTCAACTCTGTCGCGTCGGTAACTACTGTCTCTCCATTTGGAGATTCCGGGACGAGCAAACCATTGGTGAGTGATCTGGGCAGATATGGCTGCGGCGATATTGCATCAAACGTATCGCCTTTACTACGTTGCTCGTACTTGCTGCCATACTGGACAAAAAGATCCATTTGTCGTCGGTACACAGATTAGGCCATCATATTCAATGCACGGCTCTTATTCTCTTCCTCACCCCTCGGTGAACGAAGTCGTAGCAGCTGGAACCATTGCACTTGGGTGCACCGTTCGTGCGTTGAAAAAAAACTAAACTGATACCCGGTATTTCTCACGACTGCTGTGTACGTTGCCCCACGAAATCACTGCATTCCGGTTCCTTGCGAAGACCTTTCTAAGGTGTCCGAGGTAGCTGTATAGATGTGGCAAGAGGCTGTATGATGTCAATTAATGCATATTTTCACGTTAACGATAATACAAAGGGGATCATCGAAGGAATTGAGTGATTGACTTCCGTGCAACTCTTAGTGTCCCCCAACTCCACTGTGAACGTCACTGGGTATTATTCAGCCTGAAAGAATCCGCACATTGGTAGCTACGTCTTTTTTTTAGGTAACGTCATGTCAAAAATCCTGGGCGCCTTGACAGCCAGTGGCCCCTTGCTATTTCGTCAGTTGTTTGAGAGTGTGTCTTCGACATACACGTACTTACTAGCGGACCGTGTTTCCGGCATCGCTACGATCATTGACCCAGTCCTAGAAATGGTCGATCGGGACTCAAAGCTGGTAAGTATAGTTGTTGTTTGGCTTACTTGAGCATTTCTGGTCTATGGAAACACGGTCTGTGGGTCATGTTAATATTCCGTAGAAATACAGTGACTAGAAACAACAGTTTACACAGTGAAAACTCACCGCCAAGAAGGGACGTCCACGGGTGACACAGTGTCTTAAAGTATAAGAGGTCCCTTTCATAAAGAACTCGATCTTGGGTGATAAGCATCAAAAGTTTGATAAAATGTTTATTGAGTTCTGAAGCTAGGAGACCTGCTTATTGCACAGCATGGATATGTTCCCGTCAGACTTAGTTGGAGAATGGGGTTTCAGCATTAGCACCGGTAGGTAGTTCAACAAGTTTCGATGTGTTTACGTCTGATTAACGGTCACCATCTCCTGTGATACTTGCTAGCAGGGATAAATGTCGCTCCAACCGCTTTCTCGAAGCCCTAAAATCGTCTAGATGTAGCACCCTTTCAGTGCCTAGCTGCCATGCAATACGAAGCAAGCACGAGGGTTGGGATACTGCCAGTTTGCCCAAGCCTAAACAGGGGAACTCGAGAGGTAGAGGTCGGATTCGAACCACGGACTTTTCCATCAGTGAATTCACGCTCTAGACACAGCCATCTCGCCTTTCGAGGGCTTTTTGAGGCCCTTATGAATGTGTGCAAGTTTTTTATGTGACATTTGTTAATCTTTCTTTCGAGGAACGGGCAAAAGGCAACATCAGTCATCTCCAATTAGCCAACACTTGATGATGCCCGCAGTCAGTGCACACCGAGTGTTTTATGGTCAAAAACGTGAACGTCGCCGGTAGCAAAGAACGACTTTTAGCGACAGTCAATCGATATAGTGTAGAGGATCACTTAGCTAGCTCAACCTTCCCCTCCCCCTCTCTCTCTTGATAAAAATCTCTCGTATGGCAGCAAAATATGAGTTTTCATGTTTATTGAAGCAAATTATGCGATTGTACTAATAGGACTAACTTTTTCACACACATTGACCACTGTTTCATCTTATTTTGTAGCTTTCGGCTTAGGACAGTATGTATAGGCATAGATGTCAATATATTTGAATTTTTTACCTTTGTCTCATTGCGTGAACTCGAGCCTCACCAATGGCAAATTTGATCATGGAACTATGGGACAAAGAGGTACCGATAGAAGCTTTTCAGTTTCTGAACTTCCTAAGCAGATGGGAATCCAAACAATGCGTAGGAAAAATAAAAGACATGAGAGAGAAATTTCTGCCAGACCAAACTTCATACTTTGATGACACTGACTGCAAGCGACAACACACATCGGCCAGATCATCATTCGCATGCTTGAATTCTGTCAGATAGTCGATGGTAGCGGACAGTAACGATACGATGTGACAATACTGACGTTACCCCAACCTTCTCGTTGCCGTGTGTGTATAGCTGTGAAAATGATGAGAAAGGCTTCAGTCACTAGTTGAGAATCAAGAATTTAATGTTGTGCATTATCTCCAACCAGGTAGTTCTTGCTCGTCAACGTAGAATTGATAGACTCATGAAGTTACACTCAAGTGCAAAGTACATTATCATAATCATCATTGACCGCGACAAACCAGTAGCAAATACTGACAGCTAACCATCACGAACTTGGGGAAAGAATCCCTTAGTAAGAGCCACGAATAAAGAGGACTTAGTTAAAAAAAACCCATGTCCATGGGGAAAACACGCAACGGCAAAGTGCCTACATCTTCCATCAAACGTGAAAAACGTTTCCGAGCGTAATGTCGTAGGAAGTCGCCATCGGATGACCCGATCAAGCATTTATTTGTGGCGCTTACCCAAGCTCAGCGCACAACGAGGCTACTCCCGTCGTATGCTTCAATCGATCGTTCCAGCCAATGTTACGACTCGATTCATCTTCAAGCTGCATAATCACACTTCACTACTCTGAGTCATATCACTGCCAAGTACCAAGCCATTATAGGAGCAAAGTACAGTCTTACGAAGCACAAAATCCTTTCGAAGTGGTCCTGATGAAGGTTGAGGATATTGATCACATCTGCCATAATCAACAGATCAATGACTGTGCATGTTTCAGAGGGTGGGCCCCCACGAAAAACCACACGGCAACACAGGACTTTCGAAAGACAACGGATGTTTGACTGAGGTAGTCGGGCTCGATCGGCGGAGTTTAACGTGGCAAGCTAGCCCTGGCATTTAGATATCCGAACTCAGCTTGCACCAGTGCTCAACCGACCCATGAATATGGTTTTCGCCATCGGCAGTGCGATGTTCTACACTTCGAGCCGCACAATTTGAAACTGTGGGTTTTCGGCTTGACAGGTAAACGCAGTTCACCAAGATAGCAACTCAAATCAAGCGATGAGATATATGTTGGCATCTTCGTGGAGGTGTGTAACCTTCCAACATGTACACAACGGTGGGTGACAAGTGCATATTTGACTCACAATGTATTTCCGACTTTGTGTCCTTTTCTGTTTCACGATGACTGGGCACCGAAAACAGGTGGTTGTCAATTTTTTTTAAAGTTTAGGTCGAAAGAGATCAGGTACTGAAGACCACAAAATCCCACAGTGACCTTTGAACTCCTCTAGCAAAGAGAGAACATTTTGTTGTGTAACTTGTACTGCTGCCGCGCAACAATATGAAGTCTACCTCACTCATATCCCACAGTTCCTGGAGCGTCATTTTCCTGGGGACTAGGTATTTGCAGCAAAACTTCGGCTTATTTTCTTTTCCTCCCTTTGTTCAGATTAATGAGCTAAACCTCAAACTAGGACCCATTATTAACACTCACGTACACGCGGACCATGTGACAGGCAGTGGTCTACTCAAACAACGATTTCCTGGGAGTTTCAGTGTTCTCGGACACTACGATAATGTTCTGGCGGATCGCAAGGTACGGCACAGAGATTTCATTGAGTTTGGTCAATTCAAACTGGAATGCCGAGATACCCCAGGTGTGTTTTAGTGCAAACGCTCAGCCTTTTCGCGCTAGCCGCTGTATACTAGTTGAGTTGTTCTAGGCTTGGTCCTCGAAATTCTCCGTTGTCTATTCAGCCGTTTTTGTGTGAGTAGCTTACCTTTCAAAGAAGACTGCGTTCAAATAGCCGAGTGAGGTGTACTTTACTTGTTATGCCCTCCTCAGGACAGGCAGCTTCGTAGATCACGACGCTTGTGCTTTGTCCTTTGACTTAGTCCCTCTGAAGCGGGACAGCTGTATCGAGGTTCTCATATTATTTTCAATAGTAAAAGCTCTGAAATACAGGACTAGCTGCTTTGGGCGTGTTTTATCTTCGAATGCTTGCTATCCTCAAGATAGCTCAGTGGTTAAGACACCAGCTTATGACTAGAAGGTGGACTAGCTGCTTTGGGCGTGTTTTATCTTCGAATGCTTGCTATCCTCAAGATAGCTCAGTGGTTAAGACACCAGCTTATGGACTAGAAGGTCGATGGTTCGGACCTAACCTCAGCATCTAGGCTGTTCCTGTTTAGTCTTGGCCAACCTGGCAGTGTCCCAGTCCTCCTGCCTCCTTCCGTTGTCACCGAAAGGTGCCACAGCTGACTGGTCGCCTCTTATCCCTAGAACAGCCGTTATTTGAGTGGTTTCTTGAGCTGCACTGCTGTTGTGCTGCATCGTCTTGAACCAAGCTGAATGTTCGGATCAGCCGTTTATCGTATTTACGGAAAACTGGCATTTGTCAAACATGCAACGCTTCTCGGTTCTTATCCCACTATATACAGCTATTCAATAGTCATAATTTTGTTGATATCTCTACCTGCTGGTTTTTTTTGGGAAAGGCTTGGATATAAAGTCCGTCATTGTCAATCCCTAGAACCCCGCAGCTAACCCTACTCGTTTCCGATCAGGGCACACCAATGGTTGCATGACCCTAGTATTGCATGCAGCTGAGATGGCTTTCACCGGCGATGCCCTACTCATTCGTGGCTGTGGCCGTACCGATTTTCAATCCGGCTGTTCTGCCACTCTGTACGATTCGGTGCACTCGCAGATCCTCAGTTTGCCCGAACACTTTCTCCTCTTTCCTGCACATAATTATTCCGGACAGATGGTCACGACAGTCGGTGAGGAGAAAAAGTACAATCCTCGGTAAGTTGCTTGTCATTCGCTATCAACCTTCCGGGCTTTTGAGAGGTTCATATACCTGAAATTATCAACTGTGACCCTCATTCGGTTGTTACGCACGTAACCTTCCGATTCTCCGGCTTCTTTTAATGGAGGGCTTTGTAGTTTGCAAATGTAGTCTTCAAGGTGTGGTCAGGAATGTTCAGGGACGCTGTTGATTCCGCCATATCCCTTATGACGCCACACAGCCTTCTCCAAATCCACGGTACCTCCTTCAGCTGTAGTATGGTTTAGGTACCTAGCTGCCATGCCACCCGAAGGTAGCACGAGGGCTTGGGTACTGCCAGGTTGCCCAAGCCTAGACAGGGGAAGTCGAGAGGCAGGAGTCGGGTTCGAACCACAGACCTTCCGGTCAGTAAATTCTCGCTCTAACCACTTGGTCCATCTCGCCCCTCCACGGTACCTAACACAGTGCGTATGCAGGTGCCAACTTTTTTATTTCTGAAGTACTATAATCCTGGCGGATATTAGCAAGTGGAATGAGGTTTCACTTTCAATACCGCCTTGATACTCACTATCTGGACTCAACTTGTGATCAGTGGGGCTCACTGGCTTGACACTGTGACCATCATCATCATCATCGACAGCGTGACATCAGTGTTCAACACCGATGCTTCACTGCCGTACAACCATGATTTATTTGAAAGCCTTATTGTAAAGAGAAGAGTAAAGGTGGAAGGGGAAGGGATTTAGTGCCAGCTTAACACAATCATTCCGAGATGCCTACACCTCCAGACATTCACTCAGGCTATCTGGATAGAAACTGACATCGGTTGGCAACCATATCCTGTAGTGTCTCCAACCAGGCACAGTGAGGATCACGCGGTCTCCATCCTGGAAGGCGAGTAGCACCGACAGCATCCAAGCGTTTCGTGATCTCTTTCATACTCTTCTGCCAAGTCAGGGGTTGGCCACCCCTCTGTTTACGCTACTCTGAGTTGGGCATGGAAAACAGCACTCTTTTCGGCAAACGATTGTTCGTCATACGTAACACATATCCCAACCAACGCAGTTTCTGGTGCTGGACACATTCTTCAATGGAAGTACCCGTTACACAACCTAAAACACGCCTTCTAACTGCCTCGTTACGGATTCGCTGACACCAACCCACACGAGCTATGGTCCTGAGACAACGCTTGTCGAACAACTGATGACGTCTCAGTTCCGCTGCTCAAATAGGCCAAGTCTCAGCCATACAACAAGACAGCCCGTACTGTAGCTTGATACACACGTCCCTTCAAATTCAGGGATAAACCATTCTGATGCCATAGGTGTCTCAAATTAGCAAACGCGACCCGAGCCTTGCAGATTCGTGCATTCACCTCATCTGTCACACTACAGTCAGAACTAATACAACTACCAAGATACGTAAAACGCTCCACAACTTCCAGTATCTCTCCCTGGATTGTGAGTGGCGTGTTCAGTGACTGCACGTCCACGTGACCACGTCCACTGTGGCCTTGCAAACGAACTTACTCTACTCGAAGCCTTCGAGCTCTGATCCTGTTCTGATTGTGACTGGTCTGAACGCGCGGAGCGTCGAAATTTCCGCAAAGAACATCTCCATAGAAATCCAACGCACCTCTGTATTCCGCCTTGAAAACCTTGATCCAAATAATTTGAATACACCCGAGTTGTCAGCAAACGCGGGTAAGTTTTTACCCTCTTCTAAGTGAAAAGCAGTCAGACTCGAAATTTTGCTACATTTCAGAAAATGGGCTTGCACTTGCTGGAGGTAAATGTACAGTAACCGAGAAATTGAATTAATTACTTTTTGAGAAATATCGTCTTCAAAACCGCTGTTTTTTATGAGATCAAAATGAGTGGCGATTTGCACCCCATTATCAGTGATAGGCTCGTGTTCAGTCACATGTGAGCCATTACATGAGACTGAAGCTACTAATCATAAGTCACGTAACTAGTCCCCCTATACTCACATATCCACATAGTTTAGTGCTTTACCCCGATCGTCGCAAACAAGTACATAGAACCACATCACAAGGAGGTTCATGAGAGATTGGAGGGAGAAAACGATAAACCGAGGTTTGTCGTTTTCACCATTGACTACAATGTACTGCATACTAGGCACTACTGCAATATTACACCACATGATTCATTCGGTCCTCGCTTACTACTTTCAGTCTGTGTATCACAATTCGTGAGCGGGTAAACAAACTTAAGCTTTCTCATGCCATTCGTTGTTAGCCGAATTGTGCCGTTTCAGACGATTGATGCTGAGAGTTTTAAACAACGCACGTTCGACCAGTGTTGATTTTTCGAGTGAACCTGATTTCAAATCATGATCCTCGTGATTGCACAATTTTATTCAGATACCAACTAGCTAACAACACTCGACCAGATTTGCCGTACACTAAGAACATACTATGTGTTCTGTCTGGTCATGAACATCATTCACATATTTAGTGCATGATTTATTAGCTTTTTTTCATTTCGTCTGTTGACCAGTTATCAGATCATCACATAGCAGACTACCGTTTTGACGATTAGACTGTTGTCAACCACCTTTCTAACCCACCCTCGTTCCAGTCAGTGTAGCGAGTATCGTGTAACTTCCATACGGTAGTTAGCGAATATACACTCATTTGCAAACTAATTTGGTTTTATCGAGAGACTCATCTGGAACCCAGCTGAATCTCTCGTTTATGATGTTCTCAGAATAAATTTTCAGCAACCTTATGAGTAGTACATTACAAAGATTCCATATGGTAGCCTTATGGTTAGAAATCCAAAAGGATGACATCACAGTCAATGAAAAGTGTCAGCATAACCAGAGTAAAAAAACAATAAAATGTGTTTGACTTTAGTTTTCCAAATAACTAATGCCTTTCAATTAGAGTTCCGTACTGGATGCTAAAGTGACGAAAGTCCGAGAGGATGGTCTCCCTGTGGAAGAATCACATGAAGAACACTGTTGTATACTCTCCAGGAATTGACCTCTTTTCGGAAGTGGTTGAGAGATGTATACTCAGGTGCTCGGGATGGTATTTCCTAGAGGTTCCTCGCTTGCTAACACTTATTGGGCCATAACACATACTATTTTTTCTGTATGTTCTGAGTTAACCACTCATGTACCCATGAAATTGGGCAGGAGGGAGCTCTGGGGATGACGAGTTTGAAAAGGTTGAAAAGACTGTCCGGACAAAGTGGAGCATGCTACTGTTTTGAATAACGACGATGTAATTGATAAATGCGTTTTCTAGAATGCAAACTCACATAAATCCCGTTCGAACAATCGTCCTGCCCTGGCACAATCATTCCGGTGAGTCCACGCCAAATGGGGGAGCACTGGACTCGAGGTTCGCCCTTATTAGAGTTGATCAACAGTGCATTTCCTTGACAGTGACGGGGTTTGAACTCCACACATGAGACATGTGAGGCGAGCATGTTACCAGAGCACGCTGGAATCATATGGATTTTCTCATCTCAACAGATGGACATGTTCGTGCGTGACTGATCTGAGCGGAAGGCCCGATGCCTCGAACGACGACCCAGTAACATACCTTGGTTGTGTCGACCGCCATTCAGGACTTCCCAATCAGGTAGTGACTCAGATGTGCGATGCTCCAAACCCGACAGAGCCAAAGATATGCACTGCTGATGAACTCTAATAAGAGCGAAGCTCGAGTTCTCTGCTCCCACTTTTTAGTGTTGGCACACCAGACTGATTGCGCCAGGACAGAAGAACGATTATTCAAACGGGAGTCATGTGGGTGAGTATTCTACAAAATTCCGCAACCACCAATACCTGAAATACGTTTTTATCTGCGATATGTGGTCCCTGTTCTCCTGTCATAGTGGGATTTGAGTTTGGACCTTGCGACAAACGTCGATACTCGTATGTACGCATTTCTTATGACTCTCTAGTCCATTGTTCTCCAAACACGTTCCTATCAGAGTCGGACGTGCTAAGCGTGATCCATCGTTATGTACGATGGAATAAAAAATCCCAATGTCGATTAATCATTCCGAATCCTGGTGCCATTATGGTGACATTCCCCAACCAGGCTAGTCAGACGCAGGGGATAATATCCTGGCCCTCCGGGTTGAAGGCTATAACATATATGGTAATTTGTTCCTCAACAGTTTATTTGCTGTGTGGCAGTCTCAGTCCAACCACCGCTAGTTCGCGAATGAACTCTCCAGCCAAAGACGTTGGCTGGGTGCCATATCGGCATCTCAGCCCACAGACGACCGCGAAACGTGCATTTCCTCCATGTCTGTCGTCGCATTGGGCGAGACGGACCAAGTGGTTAGAGCGCAAATTTACTGAAAGGAAGGTCCGTGGTTCGAACCCGATCTCTGCCTCTCAACTCCCCCTGTCTACGCTTGGGTAACCTGGCAGTATTCCAGCCCTCGGCAACCTTCGGGGTGGCATGGCAGTTAGGCACCAAAAGGGTGCTACAGCTGAACGATTTCTTTCTGTCGTCGCGTGTGCGATCGGCCGGATAAGCCCTACTTCCTGCACACAATGAGACATTTTGGGGGAACAGGTTAATGCCGACACCCGGTTTTATTTAGGCTTAGCTTTTATCTCCTGCCTATCCCACTGAGGCGACCGACAGCATGCCCATCATCATGTCTACCGTTTCACGTCCACTTCTGAGGCTGCATTTTGCTAGCCGTAACCCATAATGTGTCTAGCAAGCTGCTCTAGTACACACTAGGGGCGCTTTGGCGATAGACGTTTACTGCGTCCCCGAAGCTCCTCGTCTGCCTGCTCAAGCTCTTAAGTTTATCAGAACAGCTTGTACGAAGCCTTAGAAAATGAGTTCTGGAGACGCATCAGTCGTAACTGGGACAGGACAAGCAGCGTCGGGTATAGGATAAGAAACTTGGAATGTCCATCGAATATGCAGTCGATTCAGTAACACTGTGACGGCTAACCTCGCCACGCGATACGGCAGTCCTAGATTTCCAGTCAGGATTTCGGCCATTTGGAGATGCATTTTCACACACCCCTGCTACATAGGTCCAATCTTTGGCCGCGGGTTTAAAACTGAGTTTGGTGAGATGCGCACTGCTGATGATTCCTAACAAGGATGAAACAGCCGTAGAATGGTTCTCGGCTTTTCAGCATAGGTTGGCTTCACTAGCAGGACGAAAGCCCCATTGACAATTTTCGTTAAGTGTAGATGGTTGTTGGCTTGTTCGCTGAGCCGGGCAATTTGGTTGCAAACGTTTCATCACCAATCGAGATGACATCATCAGTGCGTAGTTGTGCGTAGCGCTGGGTTAGTGGTTGTTAAGTGTATCGGTTACCTAATGGGGATAACGCACCTCAACATTTTGCTCTGTTGAATGCTAACTGCAACCTCTTTCTACAATCACGCCCCTGAGTTGTGCATTGTCAACGACTTCAGCGATCATACTTCGCTTGCTCGGCGCATACCGATACGACCGTTCATAATTCCGCTTTTCGACAATTATTAGCTTCCCCCGACCACGAATTCATCCTTTCTCTGCAACCAACTCAGAGGGTAATAAAAATTGTTTGATGAACATAGGCTAGCTAGTAATAGCCGGGATTGGCATACTGTCCAGCATCAGTTCCTGGATCATTTGGAGGCTGTCTTAGATCCTGTCACTTCAGAGGAACAAACGCTGTGTAAAACGTTTGGTCTGTTATTTAATTCTTCTCACCTATTTGGGACATCCCGTAGTTCTTCATCCAGTTTGAGGGTCTGTGTTGTGCGGGAGATTACTGTTGTCGACAGATATGACAAATTTCTGCAAATAGCTTGAGTTCACTCCCAGGAGTTTATCCTCGTTCACGCTACGTGTGTAACGGTGGCTACTACTGATGGGACATGCGAGTAGTATGTTTTCCCGTAAATCCGCTTCGCGTCTCTTGAAAAGTGAGATCTGTTACGGAATTTTCGGAGTTGTTTTGTAGCATTTGCTTGCATTTAAGTAGCAGTCAATGAACATCCAGGAAAGTTCAGGAAGACGCGTTCAAGGAGAAGATGGATGTTCATTTTCGTAAACAAGATGCATATGAGAATTCTGCTCTCCTGTCCAATAGTCTGTAACTTTTCAGTTGGTGTTTCTCTAATGAACAACTCCGCAGCGAAGGCCTTCTTCCTTTCACGTGTATTTAGACCGCTCATTTCAAATTCAACAAAGTCGCTTGAGATAATGGTAGCTTTTGGGTCGATAGGTGTGCACACTTCCCACGAAGGTCAGAAACGCACCAGACACCTCCAGTGATGCTCAAGCTGACAACCTTACTGAATTTCTTCGTTCTGCACCGCAAAGTATGGGATTGAGCCTCGGTTTGTTAGTGTCACCTAAATTCGCACTATTCCATCCAGTAAACGATGACAAACGCCCTTTTGACGAGATATCGTGAAAAGTGGCGGATAACATATTGCTTCTTGTACACCTGGATGCCTTCTATGAAATAGTTTTCATATCAGCATTGCCAGTGGATTCGATACGACACCTTGTTGGTGACTGATCTCGTCATAACTCTACCCTCGTTTATCGTCTCTTTGAAGATTGGAATGCAGCAGCATAACGAGACTGATCTAACTTGTTCTTAGGTCTTTCCTCTGATGTGTCAGATAACCACGTTCGAAGGTTACCTGTCCTGTGTGCCACCGGCGTGTACTCTTAAAAATGGTTTGGCTACGTGTTCCGATAGGCACGGAGAAAACGAGCGGTTCTGAGTCAGCCGGACAGTGGCTTGGCGGTTTCTCTTTTACTGAATGAAACCACAGGCACCTGTGCTATGAGCAGCCAATAAGTGTCGTTTTAGTTGCTTGATAGCGAGTTGATAACGGTTCTATGTAACTTTCGATAGAATTTTTAGGAGCAACCCACAGGTGCTGGACGGCGAAGATGGCTCTATGACGGTAGTGAACTATGCAAGCCTGACTTAGCCAACTTCGTAACGCTATCCAGCATTGGCTCACCGGTAATCGTTTGCACCCTTGCCAAGAATCAGTTTAGTCACCCTATTGGAAATGTATGCTGAATCATGGTGGTGCCCCTCAATACAATTTTAATCTGTGTTGCTGTGTGATGCCTTCAGTGCCATCATCTGCGGCAGCGAAGCATCAGCGTTGAACACTGATGTCGCGCTGTCGTTGATGCTGATGATATTGACATTACCATCACTAAGCTAGAGTTGGGTTGTTAGACTGACATTCTTCACGGATAGCATTCGTTTTTCATTTGTCACTTATTCCCTGAGTCCTCGTCTCTTAACTCCCCACCACCGTATGCAGGTGATTCCTCATTTTACGTGTTCTCTACTCATGTTCAGCTTCACTCGTTCAAAAGAAGAATTCATCCAACTCATGGATAACTTAAAATTGGATCTGCCAAAACAGTTTGACCGGGCAATGCGATTAAATGTGGTCTGCGGTATCGAACCCAAATGAACGATCATTCTTTTCCAAGCATTACTCTGTATGCGCCCTGTTTGATACAACTCTTCCACCTATCTAGAAGCACATTAGTTTATGCGCTGTGATTGTTTTTTAAACCTTTTTCTAGCTCTCACTTGAAAATGAGTCATCTTTACTTTCCACCATCTGAATCCGTTGCTTGCCAGATCATAACTTCAGTTGTCGTAGATTACAAATGGCTGTTCTATTTTTCTATAAGAAAAATCTTTCGAATTTTTCTAACAAGTGTCCTTGGTTTTCTTGTATTTGTCATCCTATGAAGTCATATAATTGTATTTGGTAAGTGCGTGTTTCACACCGATTGGCTGCTAATTTTTGAGGGTACAATCTATTCGCTGGCTGTCATCGGACATTAGGTTTGTTCTTTGACTGACTCTAGAATCGGGATTACGAAAAAAATCTATCGAGGTGAGATTCAACCGAAATATTCTGAAAGCAGACACAACTGCGAATCGATACATTTACTGCTTAATGTGCAGTATGGGAGGTACTTCAATCACAGAATGTGGTCGCTCGGTCACGTGCCACGCATGCTGAGTGGAGTGTTATTCTCCTCGCCTCCTTGAGAATGACGCAAATTGAGAAGTGGAAAGTATGTGATTTTACAGAAGGGATTACGCAGAGTTTAGGTATTATGGTCAGCCTTCCAGGATAGATCCTCTGTTTTTTGGCTTTAGTTCATAGTCGTAAAATGTGCTGACTGACGGGACGTTTTTAAGGTTTTCAAATCGGGTTTTCAGATTTCCTGTTTCGAACGACCAGTTACACCACCGACTATTAACCTCAGGTGAGTCGATGGCACAGTACGCCATAGTTGTCACGGTACTGTTTTCTTTGGAAAAAAGAGCTAGTGATCGAGGGTGCCTACATAATAAATTCGATTCGGTAGTAGAGCTTTCTCCGTACATGTTATTAAATTTTAAACAATGGGAACGAAACATACATATCTGATTGAATAACTAGCTCATCTGTGATATTTGGATAGTCCAGCGACTTTCGATTACGTGGCCAAACCGAACGAGTTAACATATTTCCACCCCAGAAAGACAGGCCCACAGTACTCAGAGACACGGGATTGAATGACCACGTCAACTCTGAGTAATTGATTGTGTTTTACACAACTCTACTTCAAACGTCCCAAAAAAAACAGATCATCATGGTTGTTGGACCCTAAAGTAAAACTGATGGCAATAATCCCGTGATCAAGAGTATCAAATGTTCTCCTTCATGATTTCACATATCACGGTCGTTCGTGATCAAACACCTGATTTCCCGATGATATACTACAGAATATACAACATGCATTCGGTAAAGTTGACGGTTATCACTGTGAAGTCGGTCCTTAACTTCTACTCAGAAATAAGGTAGAAACCAAAACCGAATCACCTGAGACTTGTGAGAGATTGGATTCTCCGAATACATATCTCTTGCAAATCTTGGACAACGCCATGTGCAGAAAATTCAATTACTGAAGTGCGTGGTAAGATTGTTCTCTTCGCATGATATATACTGCGAGTGAGTTGATATTCTTCCACAATATCTCACAATGAGCTCATTGCACCTGATTGGTTTGTTTTTAAAATCCGTTTGAAATATCCCCACGTTTCTATACACTCAATGGAAGCAATTTGTTGAAATATTGGTAGCTCGGTTTATTTGTGTAATGGAAGCAATTTGTTGAAATATTGGTAGCTCGGTTGAGTTTATTGGTTGTTGATCAAGTGGCTGTTGAGTTGAGTGCGCACTGATGATGTCTCCTCGTATGGTGACGAAACGTTTGCAAGCCAATTGCCAAGCTCGGCGAACAGATCAACAGCCACCTGATCAACAACCACTCAATGGAGGTATTTTCCACAGAGCTTCGCTACTATTTCTACCAATTTCTGCGGGTCTAATAAGGTCCGGGTTCTTTAGGAGTGAAAACCATGCGCTATTTGGTATGCGAGCAACCGTGCTCTTTAACCAGATAGACGTTGAATTTCGGACTGAACGTGTAGTCCGGCTCAGTGGCCCGTCGACGGATAATGAGACTGATGCTGAAAACTGGACATCGGTTTAGCTACTAGTAAGTAGTATGCATTAAATTCAGCAGATATTTCACAGTGGCAACCGTCAACATCGGCAGCCGATTCGTCCCAGCCCTTGGCAGATGTGCGACAACTGTTCCGATGCTACTCAATCTAGTAACACAGTCAATTCGGAAATGGAGATCGGGCATGCTGTGTTACATTGTGTTTGTATGCTCCCATATCACTAATGCCATGACGGTGCTCGAGAAATAAGAATACCAAGACGAGGTCTCCAGCTATACTGAGATTTCTTCCGCCAGCATAATCCAAGATGCAGGTCTCAGGTACGTGAATCCTGGCTGTGCCAAACGACCTGAAGTATGTCAAAGGCATGAAAATTTTTATTGCTACATTCTACTGAAGTGAACGCACCAGTAAATAGTTTGCCAGAGTCAAAAAATAGTATACACAATTACATGCGTTTCCCGATGGAGATCTTCTTGAAGGGTTGCTTGCTTCGCTCTCATTGGGTTTCATCAATAAGAGCTAGTCCTCGAGATTTCATCATCAAATCTTGCGTAGATGGTGCATTAATTCAATTTGGAATTTCAGGTGTTAACAGAGGACTCCAATAAATACCAGGTTTAGATCTTTTTCTGATTGTTCTTTAAGCAGGTTTGCTGGGCAGACTGTCTCATACCTAAGTTGGCGTAATATTCAGGAATATAATCAGCCGGACAATATGACGGACGAGACATTTCATTTGAGTCCTCTATCACCATCAAGTTGAATCACAATTCAATGTGTTTTGCCACCTGCATGCAATTTTAACCTTGAGTTAGATGAAAAACTGGGGGCTGAATCTACTGGATGAGACTAGTGCTGGGCGACTGATTGCTTTCCAGCAGCCGTATAAACACTGTAGTGTGATGTCAGGAATATATACTTCTGTATCACGGGAACCGTACCAAGTGATATATTGGGGGCCCTTGTGTGGCAGTCTCATTCAAAGAATACTATGAAGAAGAGGTATTCAGTTGGGTCTCGACCTACACTGAATCTATTTGTGAGTAACTCAGACGGGGAATAATTTCACAAGCTTATTGAAAGTTTCATCATCATCGAAGAGTCCGTGAAAATCTAATCAGGTTGTGTGGTCTCTGTGGCTGGAGGATGAGCGGCGCCACATCCTATCTAAGTTAAATCTAACCACAGTGATTTTTAGCTGTTCAAGGCCAAACGGTCAAATGTCGAACCACTGGCCGGACTGCTGCGGTTTCGAAAGTCTGAGTTTCGTGAGATGCGCACTGCTGACGATTCCCAACAAGAATGAAGCAGCTGTACAGCGGTTCTAGGTTTTGGAGTAAAGATTGACCTCACTGATAGGACGAGAGCTCAGCTGAATGTACCTCATCACTTGATAAAAATGCCAAAACGAAGACCAGAAATTTGGGACACGTATTGATGTGAGCTGAGTGTCATTCACCTGGGGCCACAGCGTTTGTTCCGCCTTGGAATAATTAACCTGAGGTTCCAAGTTTCATAATGATATTAGCCAGCAAAACCGCTGAAGACGCTGGGTCGAGTATCCGGATTGGACTCACACATTCCATGTTGCCCTTCTGGTATCTCTTATGAACAAAGGCTTCTGAAATCGTCTTGTCAGACGTGAGCAAGCGAATTTCCTTAAGGTTGTTGTACTGAGGATTTTCCACCCTCGAACATTAACTGTTCCTCTTAGGCGCATTGTGCCGAAGCCTAGCAGAAACTCGAGTGAGTATGACTGCTTTGAATTCACCATCGTGATTCATGCTAAAAGATAATAATAATTGTTCAGCTGTAACACCCTGTGGATGCCTAGCTCCACGCCCCCCCAAGGAAGCACTGAGATAGCGCCACTTCGCCCAAGCTTTGACAGGGAAGTCGAGACGCAGAGGTCGGATTCGAACCAGAGACCTTCCTGCTTCATTCTGCTATAGTATGGATGTGACATTCACGTTCATAGCCTGTACGCTGCACCTGGTTATTCCTAAGCTAGCAGCCGTTACTGGTAACAAGAAGACCGTATCCAATCACTGACGCTGTCATTAAGCTTCTTCAGCTCAAGCCGTCGGCGTATTGTTGGTCACGTCATTTTTGGAGCACAAATGTGGATGAAATTTTGGTGCATTCATCGTGCAATCTTTCTAGAGAGGGCTTGTGATTTCATCGTACCCAATGATGACTGAGGTAGGTATGACGGTGACCCTAAGGCTACTGGTCGTCGCCTTCTACTAATTGCACTACGCCAAGCACTTACGGAAAACGAAGGATGATTTACGTCTAATAACACATCCTCAGAGGCATTGCTTATTACGGCTGCACCGGCAGAAATGGTCCTATGATCCACAAAACGTTCTAATGTCACAGTAAGCCTCGCTCACGGTTACGGTGCACCGTATGCCTCCGCAGCCTTGTTCTTAGGGTGAAATTCAACTGGACAACTCGTATGAGCGAAGTCTCGCTCCGTTTGCTTCCTGATGTATGCTGTCGAAAACGGCCTCGTTCACTTTGGTGACGACCCAAGACATTCTCCTGTGAGCCTCGTGTTGGAAACACCGTAAAGCATTCCACTAATTTGGTTATCACTATTGTTAGTAACCTGTCAGTTCAAGAATAAAAGTTAATGAAAATGGACCTTTTGTTTTAGTTATCTAAATTCGCTAAGTAGTCGAGAGCGAAATAAGCGAGACCACAGGCTTGGAAACGTGCACCGACAGATGCCTACATAGAAAAGGTCGGCCATCCATCTGCGTTTTCTTGTTGATGATTAGTTTTGCACGCAGTTCAAATAGCCGAAGTTCGGCTGGTATATGTGGGCTGGAAATGAGCTGCTACGATTTGTGTGCGGCGGCGTTCTGCACACGGATAGGCTTTTGAAGAATACTTTGGTCAGATCAAACGGCATCATGTAGTTTCCATAAGGTAGACATGCAAGTTTTTGAGTCAGCTTATAATTATTGGAACTAAGGGCCTACCTTATGCCACGAATGGTTAATACATGCAGAGATGCCTGCTAGTTTCACCGCCTTCGCGTTCCTTGTAGCAAATTTCACTGATCTATCTCGCAAAAGTCTAGAGCTGATTGAGATGTCAGTTTTAGTGAATTTTGGGGGTGGGGTTTCACACGTAAATCAAAAAGTGTTTAATCTAATGACACAATCTACTGATGCGTTCAGTAGCCTCCAGATCGAACGTGAACGATACGACATTGCACTGTTTTTTAAGGGTAGATGGTAGTTCGAATTCACGAAGCCCTTGTTACATAAACAGGAATGTTCGTCATC